GATTTCCTAGAAGAACCAACAATGGTAGGTTCATGAATTTCAGAGGAAGGACAATAGGTAGAGGCAGAGCATGGAGGCTAAGTGAAAACAAAGGGCCTTGCTAAATCTGTGGGATGACCAATCACACAGTAAACTGGTGCTACAACAAATATGATGATAGGTTTATGGGGAGCAGACCTGCTAATCAAAACCAGTAGAACTTCCTACGGCATATGTAGCCACACCAAAGATTTTTGAAGAGTCGGTGTGGTTTGCAGATACTGGTGCGAGTAATCATGTTACACTAGATAAATGTAACCTATCAAATGCTCAAAGATTTGAAGGTAAGGAGAAATTATTTGTTGGTAATGGAAAATGTTTACGAATTTCACACATTGGAAAATGAGTTATCCCTTCATCAAATGATAGAAACCTTGCACTAACATTGAGATTGTGTGGTTGCGTTGGTTACTTGCAAACATGGATACTCCTTCCTCTTCAACCCCTATGTACTATGATAATAAAAGTGCTATTCAGATTTCTCACAATCCCGTGTTCCATAAACGCATGAAACATATTAAGATTAACTGTTATTTGATTCTCCATCGTCTGCAGATTGGCACCATTTTTCTACATTTTGTTTCTTCATCATTACAATTTGATGACTCTTCATGAAGTCTCATCTTGTTCATCGTTTTCTTTTCTCGCTGAACAAATTCTCGCTGCTTGCTGTAGCATCGTAAGTTTAAAGGGGGATGTTAGCCTTATAATATTATACAATCATTGCATAATATTTAGTTTCCTTTTTTTTATATAGGTTTCCTTTTTGCTTATTTTTCTTGTAATATATAAACTTGTGTATTTTATTTAAAAAACTTAATTCTTTTGACGGCTCAATATATTATTGATTTTTCTTCTCTCTCTTTCTTCTTCTTCTCTTCTCTTCTCTTCTCTTCTCTTTTCTTGTTTTTGAGTTGATTCACTATGTTGGTTCTATATAACTTTACCTAACCATTAGACATTTTATTTTTTACATTAAGCAAAATGGAAACTATGATAGGTCTACCTCTTGAAATGAACTTAAAATGCACATAAAACAAAGTCTTTATGAGAAGTATTTTCTTAACTTGCAGTTAAAAAGTAAGAAAAAGTTATTGAGCGACTTAAAAATTATTTATCCAAAAATGAGTGTAAAAAAATTTATTTTCAAATAATCAAAATAAAAAAGTGCTAAATCTAAAATGGAAAAAAAGAATGTCCAAATATATTTAAAATTCTTGAAAAGTAAGGTAAACACCATAATGTGGGACCTTGGGATTGGTCAACCGTCCCGTCCATCAACTTAGCGTATACTCCAGGCTTTTTAATTCTTTGCCAATAATGGCGAGTCACAGTGTAGTGAAAGAGCAACCGATATCAGATTTGAGCTAACACATCAGTTTGATTAATTAATTACTTAATCGTACTATCAAATACCTAACTTAGTGCACCACACACGAAATTATATGATTCAAACACTCAAATTTAATATCCATTTTTATTCTATGATTCTTTATAAGTTGACTGTTTTGGAGGTAAAGTCCAATCCCCACCTAAGTCTACTTTTTTTTCTTTGAAAAAATACCTAATTAGCCTGTCATTTGTCATACTAGAAACTGCGAGATCTGAATTATTAATGTATTTAGAATTGTTAATAAATCCACCTTTAATCATCTTTTTGCTTAAAGTCCACTGATTCTCGAGATTCGGTGGTTCAACCACAAGTCTTAGAGACAGATCTTACTTTCAAATCCTTCAACTGCTGCCCTTGCGTCATCCAAAGAGAATGGTAAAGTGAAAGTACTAAAGGTAATAACAACTTACCATAAATAGGAATATTCATTGTTGAGTAATAGCAAATATATAAATAAAGTCGAACAAACATCGCTATTTATATTAGAGGAAATTGTAAAAAATGTCCAAAGTTTCCTTAATATCCATCTTATTATAATATGGACCAAAATGCCCTCCTTAACAATTTTAAATTCCACAACGAAGATAAAATTATTCATATAATTAAAAATTGTACTGATCAATAATGACTTGACACATAACCTATACTTCTCCCTATAAATGGCTAAATAAAACATTTATAAAATGTCGAGAAATACACTTCAAATATCAAAAATATTATGAAATGTAGATAACTTTCATGTTGAGAACGAAATCTCGTTCTAAACAATTAAAGTATTAAGTGTCAAAATAAACATGATCCAAATGTCGATAACAGCTTTTAAAATGTCGAGAATGTCATGAAATGTTAAAAATAACAACTATTAAACACAACTTATCAACAAAAACAAGATTTCAAAGAAAAATTATCTTCTACCAAATATTGCGGAAACCATAATCAACTGCAAATTTGGATAAGATTAATTTTTTCGAAATGAAATTATATGATTTTCTTATGAATTGGAAGCATATAATTATTTTTTAGTGTTAATGACTTGTCTACTTCATCTTCATTTTTTCCCAAAATTTTTGGTTAATACCTAATAGATAATAAAAGAAAATGAATCTACTAGGTATTAGCAAGCATTAATGTAGCTTCTCGTGGAAGCTACTTGTTCTNAATATTTTCATCTTAGGTATAGGCTAAATTAATCATTTCAAGAATACTTTTAATCTCATTTAATATATCGATTTTGCTATTTTTATATAAAAAATGTACATGATAGATTACATATTATGATGTGGAGGGAAAATATTGAATGAAAAAGTTGATTGTGTTTTAAAATATTGACCATTTTTTGTAAATTCCCCTTTATATAAATATTTTCATCTTAGGTATAGGCTAAATTAATCATTTCAAGAATACTTTTAATCTCATTTAATATATCGATTTTGCTATTTTTATATAAAAAATGTACATAATAGATTACATATTATGATGTGGAGGGAAAATATTGTGAGAAGGGAAAAAAAAAAAAGGAATTTTTGCTACATCTAAATAAAAATGGTACATAAGCGGTGACCGAAAATGATGTGGAGGGAAAATATTGGATGAAAAAGTTGATTGTGTTTTAAACTGACAAATGGTAGAGTGTCGTTTGATATTATGTAATCTATTATATAAATCTTAATGTGCATGTGACAAAATTCTGAATATATAGAACCTTCATCCACAATCAAAGCCCTGTTTGGTACACATTATTTTTTTCATTCTCATTCTTTTACTCATTTTCAACCACACATTCTTCAATAAAATAATATTTTCCATCACATCAATAACTTTTCCTTCACTTTTAACCACACATTCTCCATCAATTTACTATTCAATAATACATTCTTTCAAAAAAAATGTGTCCCAAACACACTCCAAATATCAAATCCTGCTTCCAAAAATCCTACATGAGGTCTGAATTCTGGAGACATACTGCTCTCGATTGTATGACAAGCTTTCTCAGATCCCATAATATTCAAGGTACTATAAAAAATATTCCAGTTCCATCTGAAAATGACAGCCGTGAAGAAAAGCAATAGGAAATATCAAAATGTGTATAAATCTTATTGGCAATGTAGCTAGCTTATGAGCTACTTCATTACCCGAGCGGGGCAATGAAACAGCAACTCAAAATGAATAATGTGTATCAGATGTATATTTATAGCTTGGCGTTATCCCTACTGTTAGCCCAATCAAAATGAATGATGTGTGTATGTATATTTCTTGAGTTTTATTGCAGAGAAACTTGCCCTAAACTGATAACTGATAACGATGATTACCGAATATGGAATGAGTAATGCCATTTAGTCCCACTGGGGTTACAACCTCAGTCTAGATAGCGTTAATGTGGCATTAAATGATATGTGAAATTAAATAAGTAATTTAATTTCACCTTTCACTTAATTTATCATTTAGATCTACATAAACTGGGGTTTCAGCCCCATAGGGGGATGAATAGTATTATTCATATGGAATATGTCCCGCTATTTTTAGTGTTTACAAAATTCTTTCACGAATTCTTTATGGATCATAGTTTTTCCATCTGGCATCCATTTGATATATGCCTAGAAATGTAGCTGCTTAGGGTTATGTTAAACTTAAAGATTAATGACTTTTTCCTGTTAATTACAAGAACCACGTGTTGAATGCAATAATCATTTTTATTTTAATAGTACTCAAGTGTTAAATGAATTTGGTAATAATGTTGCGAAAACAATTCTCGAACGGAGACGATGCATAATGAACAACAAAAAACTAAGTCTTACTTGCAGAATTTGAAGGTTGGTCCCTTCATTCACTCCTCTATTTGCATCACTCTTATGAACAAGAAATTCTTAAAAATAACTCTAAAAAATTGATTTTAATCTCTATTTTGACAAGTTGTAAATAATGTTTTCTTTAGGTCAGTTTAGTACATTTAGTGGGGGAGATAATGAAGGAACCCATCTCAATAATTGTAACATATTGACTTTGCGTATGGTTAGTAGCAATGGTGAAAATAAAACCAAAAAAAAGAGTAAAATATTACTAAGGATGTGTTTGAGCCCTATTTTTTTACAAAAATACTGCTTGTATACACTTGGTACACAACCCTCTCACATGTGTGTGGGATCCAGGGCTCACACACATGTGAGAGGGTTGTATACCAAGGTGTGTAAGTATAATAATGTACACTTTTTTGAAGAATAGATTTTATAATAGAAATTTTTCAAAGAATGTATAATTAAAAAGTGAAAAAATTCTAAATTTGCATGTAAAATTATTTTATTTGAATAATGTGTTATTAAAAATAAATTTAAATTGGATGATTTTATATGGAATGGGAATCTAAGCGGGGCTAATAAAGAAACTCGTTGTGGTCCATTGCATGTCAACTCAATAGGGTCTCTGATGTGAAATCATCTCCCCTAACCCTACCCTACCCTACCCTATCCCAGCCCAACCCCCATTTTTCCGTGCTGTTCCTTTAACCATCACCTGCTGGTTTCACCTTATATAGGAACATAGGCAGAAAAAAACTTATAGTGCTTGATTAACTATGGAGAGAGGGAAAGGCTTGGCAGAGGGGTCATCAAGATCCCCCGGTGGCGGCTCCGGTGGTGATCCGCCGATACCGACCACTCCCAGCCGCTATGAGTCTCAGAAAAGAAGGGATTGGAACACCTTTGGGCAGTTCTTGAAGAACCAGAGGCCACCAGTTCCACTCCCTTATTGCAATAGCAACCATGTTCTTGAATTTCTTAGATATCTTGATCAGTTTGGGAAGACTAAAGTTCATTTGCAGGGCTGCATCTTTTATGGGCAGCCGGAGCCACCGGCACCGTGTACTTGCCCACTGAGGCAGGCTTGGGGTAGCCTCGATGCACTTATTGGCAGGCTACGCGCCGCCTATGAGGAGAACGGGGGATCACAGGAGACTAATCCATTTGCCAGTGGAGCAATAAGGGTTTATCTGAGGGAAGTAAAGGAGTGTCAAGCTAAGGCAAGAGGAATCCCTCACAAAAAGAAGAAGAAGAAGGCTAGCCCAGGCCAGACAGATGATGATTCCACTTCTTCCATGCCATTTTCTTGATTCAATCTATGGATCAAAAATTGGTAATTAATTTCTTGCTTTAAAATACATTTATTTTTATATAGTACTGCTTGAATTACTTGGACTTCATTTTTCTTCTTGCCCAATTCAATTGCATCAGTCACACTGGAGAATCATATATTGGTGAATACATGTACATATTGTCGTTCTGGATAAATATTTTCCCTTCAGTATAAACCCTAGAAGGAATGCATACAATCAAAGGTAAACAAATCGGTTATATAAATCCCATTTGGCCACTCAATTCTGATCCGCCCCTCGAACAAAATGTACTAGGATTTATGACATAAATGTGACAATACGTAAGCTATCAACCTACCATCACCATATTCCTTCATCGATGATGGAATTATGAACCCTAGAAGAAATACACGACAAACAAAAACTAAATTAAATCTGCAGTGTCCTTTTTCGAATTTTGTACATACTCAAACTAATCTACTAATCGAAAATTTATTCTTAGAATATTTTTAATGTTCCAAGTATGATAAACAGTGACGATCTTTAACCCCACGAAAATGACGGATTTTCCTCTGACATCAGGTAGAATCTTATCCTCATTTTTTCAAGTTTTCCATCATGGAACAATTTGTCTGCTGTAAGATGATCCCAATTTAGTACTCTATTTCATGTCAACTTCTAGTTTTATGGGTCATCTTTCGGGATTCTTGAAAGATCTTTCGCCCCCACGAAGATTGTCATTTTATTTTATTCAACATAAACGGGAAACATTCTCATTATGCAAGATCTCCCTTAGATTGCCATTTGAATTTAAGGTAGTAGACACATTTGCATGTTATGTATATATCCTAGTACAAACAAATATTTAATAAAAACTAAATTAAACTTCAAAAATTTTATTAATTAATCGACTTTTCGTATTTTATTCATGCATGCGTCCGTTTGTGGGCTTTCATTCTCAATATTTAATCCTCCTCTAATCATTGTGAAAATCTCTCAGATGTACCGAAAAAAAAAAAGAATGCTTATTTAATTAATTTTTTTTATTGTATACGATCTTTGTGAGGGCATTTTAGAAATTTTCGTTAAATTTTTGAATTCGTGCTTTGCATCTTTACTAGATTGTTTCCAGTGTGCATCAGATTTTGTGGGACATCACAATTATTCATTTTTTTGTCACAATGCTTTGCCTTTTTTACATGTTCAAAAAAAAAAAAAAAAAATTCAATAGTCTTGGGAGTTCGAATGATAATCTTAAACAATGGCATGCATTCTTCTTCTTCTTCCTTCTTTTTGTCCCCTTACCTTAATCATTGTTTTGTCTATAAAATAAGGAATTAAGATCTACAGTACCAGAAATTTGTTTCTTTTACTGTTGCAAAAAGGAGGAAATTTATAGCTTGAGTCAAATGATTTTTAAGAACAGCAGATTCTTGCTTAACATTTCTGTGAGAGCATCCTTGCTGGGTGCTGAGTTTAAATGAGATGAATTAGATCTTTTATCAACTAAAAAAAATATTATTACTTCAAAACTTTGTAGGTAATTTAATCCAAAGATCTAAGGTAATCAGATTCGAGGTTTAATAGTATGATCATGCATCCCTGCAAGAGTGGTTAACAGAAAAGAAGAATATGCAACATGTCAAATTCATATTGTTGATTGTACAATTCCACATAGAATACGATGTCTTTGTTGTTTAGGAATTTGTCTATTTGTCCCACTAATTAATAACATAATTAGCTTGAATCCGCATCTTGTATGGACTACGATCCGACCTCTTTATTCTCCTATATATAGAAGCCCTTTTTTGTTCTTTGAAGTATCTCAATTTGTGAGATAGTAATGGATTATCTTGAGAATAAGACTTAAGAATTCAGTGTTCTCACTTCTCACCCTATACATACTTTCTGGAGATTTTTTACTTCAATATTTTATACTCTTTTAGTTATGAATTTTGCTATTGGTACATAACAATCTACATAACCTTTAACATAATGGCCAAATGGCAGCTTTCCATTGGGGGAGGCACCTGGCCCACACTATGGAAAGCTGCCATTTGGCCATTATGTTAACCTTTATGTAGATTGTTATGTACCCATAGCAAGATTCTTTAGTTATCTCGTAATATCAATTTTTTTTGGCGCATTTGAGTTTTAGCATGCAATGCTTTTTTTTGTATTCATTCCTTTTATTTAGTGAAGGTTCTCTTACCTTAACCATGGACATAAGTGGATATAAGCCAAGTGCTGAATCACATTTGTTCCTTCAAAACCAAATGCAACATTTTTAATTATATTCAACAAAGCCCATGTTTGCCATCTTTTAAAATTTTAAATTGTTGCTACAATACCCTTCCCCATCACATATCCACACAATAAAATATTCTATACACAAACTAATAAAGTTTCCTTAATTTTAGAAAGATAAAACAGTTTTAAACTTAAAACAATAAAACATATATTCTTCTCAATCGAATGATGAATTATGTTGAATTTTTATAACTTCTTAACACATATCCTTGTATCCTAATTTTTTTAAAATAAAATCGTATCGACGTATCCAAATTACTCCGTATATGTGCTTCTTAGACAACAACATTACATAGCATCTATTTCTTTAATAACAACTTTCAAAATTCAAACACGAATTATTTGTGTTGATACCACTTGTTAAAAATGGAAGAAACGAGATTATATGGTATAATATGAAGTAACAATCACAACATAAGAAGAATTTGGCAGATGAATTGAGAATTCAATATAATATGAAGAATAATACAATCAATATTGTGTTTCTAATATATCAAACTTGTATGAAAAAGAGCCAACCATACATAAGGGTACATATTAAACCCTAATAGTCCTAAAGATAAAAATAACATAAAAAAATTGAGTGGAATTAAAAAAAAAACAATTTTAAGCCGAACAAGAGCAGCAAGTACGCCGCTTGAGCGCCAGTAGGCTATAGCTCTCTACTGAGAATTTCGTCCCATCACTCGAGCAGTTAGCTAGCGACAATGCAGCATCTTTTCCTTCTTGGTCCATATTTTGACATCCTCAAAGCTCAATCCAAAAAATCCACAAATACCCAACCAAATTTAGATGAAACTTTAACAAATCTTCATTTCGAACCAAATTCCATGCAATGAATCAAACTTAAAAAAAATTCTCCACCTGAAGACAAATTTCACAAGTTCTTCAACAAGAACTTCAGCCAATTCTCCAACGAACAAAACTCTCCACATCTTCCATAAAATCCAACTATGATAACTGAATCCGAACACTGCTCAACAGAATTAACTCAGGTTCCCAAAATTTGTTCGAATTATCAACACAAACAACAAAATCACAAAATAAACCAAAAATCACCAAACAGAGCAAAACTAAGTCCTGAAACAGAATCAACACCACAAAATACTTTTGTAAAAGGTTCTTCGCTAGACTCAACAAATTCAACTACACTTAAAGAATACCAACTAAATCAGCTTCTGTACCTATGTAGAGGCCTAATATTTCTTCTAGGTATGTCTCTAGTAATTGAATACGACGACATCACTGGTGGGGGGTAGTAAAGCGACATTATCCATAATCTCTAAACTCGAATATGTTTTTTTCAACATGGACCATGGACCAAATTCCAATAGTACTATTCCAAACTAAATATCCACCAAAATACTAAACATCTGCTGACTGATTTTCAAAAATTTTGCACAACCTTCCAAGACATAAATTGGGACTTTCACTGCCCCTCCAACACAACACAGACACATTTTCAAACCTTCATAGCTCCATTTTTATCATGAACTTGTACCATTTGAATCAAAAGTATTCAAGGAGATAAGATTTTCCTCAAATTTTGAACGTGTCTCACCTCATCAACTGTTTTAACCATCCCATTCAACATCTTAAGTCTGGCCATTCAAATACCATAAATCTTATAGGATGCGTCGTTGGCTATAACTACAATTCGAAACTTCTTCATATTTTGAAAACAAATACCGATTTGGACACATATGAAAAGCACAAGTTGTATCAAGAATTCAATCCTCATCGGGTTTGAAATCACCATCAGAAATAATAAAAAATTCTCCATCATTCAAAATGTTCTCTGCAATATTTACTTCGCCTAAAGTATTTTGTTGTTTTTCGTTATGATTTGCAGCCAGTTTTTCTTTATTCTACAACTTGTTGCAATCCTTCTTAATGCGTTCCTTCTCTTACAATAGTTACAAATCTGATTATTAAAATTAGACTTCAATTTGTCGAGCTCACAACCATCATGAACAACAAAACCTTCTCCTTAAGTCTCAGATGTAACAAGATGCTTCATCTTCTTTGAAAATAAAGCATCATATACTTCTTCAACAGTGAAAGTATCATAACTATATAATATCGTATCTCTAAATGATATATATGAAGCGGGTAATGAACAAAAGAAAATCAACTCCAAATCCTCTTCATCATAATTAACCTATAAGGTTTCCAAATCAGTGATAATTTCTTTAAAGACAGTAAGGTGATTTTTTAAGGATATACCTTTTGTCATACGATGAGAATACAAACGTTGTTTCATGTGTAATTTGCTAGTTAGACTCTTAGTCAAGCACACCATGACGCAACTGCGGTTTTTCCCTTCAAACCATCTTGAAAAATATTATTCGAAAGATGAAATATGCATTTGTGAAAGAACCTTTCAGTCCCTTCGTTGTTTCTCTTACGGCGTCCAAGTTGTGGACACTTTGTCAAATCACAACAATGCATCATCCAAATTCACCTAAGCGAGCATTGCTCGCATCTTCACCTACCACAATGAAAATCTAGTGTTGCGATCCAAAAGCGAAATATCATACTTCATGACTGTCATTAAGAACAAAACCTGGAACAAATCAAACCTTAAGGTCTTATACCACTTGTTAGGAATAGAAGAAACAAGATTATATGACACAATATGAATTAGCAATCACAATACAAGAACTTCACAGAGGAATGGAGTCAATCTAATATGGAAAAAGAATACA